CACACCACTGGAGAGCCTGCATCCATGACCATCCCCACCCCGTACCACTGGAGAGTCTGCATCCATGACCATCCCCTGGAGAGCCGGCATCCATGACCATCCCCACCGCACACCACTGGAGAGCCTGCATCCATGACCATCCCCACCCCGTACCACTGGAGAGCCTGCATCCATGACCATCCCCACCGCACACCAGTGGAGAGCCTGCTTCCATGACCATCCCCACCACGTACCACTGGAGAGTCTGCATCCATGACCATCCCCACCACACACCACTGGAGAGCCTGCATCCATGACCATCCCCACCCCGTACCACTGGAGAGTCTGCATCCATGACCATCCCCTGGAGAGCCGGCATCCATGACCATCCCCACCGCACACCACTGGAGAGCCTGCATCCATGACCATCCCCACCCCGTACCACTGGAGAGCCTGCATCCATGACCATCCCCACCCCGTAACACTGGAGAGCCTGTATCCATGACCATCCCCACCCCACACCACTGGAGAGCCTGCTTCCATGACCATCCCCACCCCGTACCACTGGAGAGTCTGCATCCATGACCATCCCCTGGAGAGCCTGCATCCATGACCATCCCCACCCCGTACCACTGGAGAGTCTGCATCCATGACCATCCCCACCCCGTACCACTGGAGAGCCTGCATCCATGACCATCCCCTGGAGAGCCTGCATCCATGACCATCCCCACCCCATACCACTGGAGAGCCTGCATCCATGACCATCCCCACCCTGTACCACTGGAGAGCCTGCATCCATGACCATCCCCACCGCACACCACTGGAGAGCCTGCATCCATGACCATCCCCACAGCACACCACTGGAGAGCCTGCATCCATGACCATCCCCTGGAGAGCCTGCATCCATGACCATCCCCACCCTGTACCACTGGAGAGCCTGCATCCATGACCATCCCCACCCCGTACCACTGGAGAGCCTGCATCCATGACCATCCTCAACCTGTACCACTGGAGAGCCTGCATCCATGACCATCCCCACCCCGTACCACTGGAGAGCCTGCATCCATGACCATCCTCAACCTGTACCACTGGAGAGCCTGCATCCATGACCATCCCCACCCCGTACCACTGGAGAGCCTGCATCCATGACCATCCCCTGGAGAGCCTGCATCCATGACCATCCCCACCCTATACCACTGGAGAGCATGCATCCATGACTATCCCCACCACACACCACTGGAGAGCCTGCATCCATGACCATCCCCACAGCACACCACTGGAGAGCCTGCATCCATGACCATCCCCACCCCACACCACTGGAGAGCCTGCATCCATGACCATCCCCACCCCGTACCACTGGAGAGTCTGCATCCATGACCATCCCCTGGAGAGCCTGCATCCATGACCATCCCCACCCCGTACCACTGGAGAGTCTGCATCCATGACCATCCCCACCCCGTACCACTGGAGAGCCTGCATCCATGACCATCCCCTGGAGAGCCTGCATCCATGACCATCCCCACCCCGTACCACTGGAGAGCCTGCATCCATGACCATCCCCACCCTGTACCACTGGAGAGCCTGCATCCATGACCATCCCCACCGCACACCACTGGAGAGCCTGCATCCATGACCATCCCCACAGCACACCACTGGAGAGCCTGCATCCATGACCATCCCCTGGAGAGCCTGCATCCATGACCATCCCCACCCTGTACCACTGGAGAGCCTGCATCCATGACCATCCCCACCCCGTACCACTGGAGAGCCTGCATCCATGACCATCCTCAACCTGTACCACTGGAGAGCCTGCATCCATGACCATCCCCACCCCGTACCACTGGAGAGCCTGCATCCATGACCATCCTCAACCTGTACCACTGGAGAGCCTGCATCCATGACCATCCCCACCCCGTACCACTGGAGAGCCTGCATCCATGACCATCCCCTGGAGAGCCTGCATCCATGACCATCCCCACCCTATACCACTGGAGAGCCTGCATCCATGACCATCCCCACCCCGTACCACTGGAGAGCCTGCATCCATGACCATCCTCAACCTGTACCACTGGAGAGCCTGCATCCATGACCATCCCCACCGCACACCAGTGGAGAGCCTGCATCCATGACCATCCCCACCCCGTACCACTGGAGAGCCTGCATCCATGACCATCCCCTGGAGAGCCTGCATCCATGACCATCCCCACCCCGTACCACTGGAGAGCCTGCATCCATGACCATCCCCACCCTGTACCACTGGAGAGCCTGCTTCCATGACCATCCCCACCCCGTACCACTGGAGAGTCTGCATCCATGACCATCCCCACCGCACACCACTGGAGAGCCTGCATCCATGACCATCCCCACCCCGTACCACTGGAGAGCCTGCATCCATGACCATCCCCACCGCACACCACTGGAGAGCCTGCATCCATGACCATCCCCACCGCACACCACTGGAGAGCCTGCATCCATGACCATCCCCACCGCACACCACTGGAGAGCCTGCATCCATGACCATCCCCACCCCGTACCACTGGAGAGCCTGCATCCATGACCATCCCCACCGCACACTAGTGGAGAGCCTGCATCCATGACCATCCCCACCCCGTACCACTGGAGAGTCTCCATCCATGACCATCCCCTGGAGAGCCTGCATCCATGACCATCCCCACCCCGTACCACTGGAGAGTCTGCATCCATGACCATCCCCTGGAGAGCCTGCATCCATGACCATCCCCACCCCGTACCACTGGAGAGTCTGCATCCATGACCATCCCCACCCTGTACCACTGGAGAGCCTGCATCCATGACCATCCCCACCCCGTACCACTGGAGAGCCTGCATCCATGACCATCCCCACAGCACACCACTGGAGAGCCTGCATCCATGACCATCCCCACAGCACACCACTGGAGAGCCTGCATCCATGACCATCCCCACAGCACACCACTGGAGAGCCTGCATCCATGACCATCCCCACCCCACACCACTGGAGAGCCTGCATCCATGACCATCCCCAACCCGTACCACTGGAGAGCCTGCATCCATGACCATCCCCACCACACACCACTGGAGAGCCTGCATCCATGACCATCCCCACAGCACACCACTGGAGAGCCTGCATCCATGACCATCCCCTGGAGAGCCTGCATCCATGACCATCCCCACCCCGTACCACTGGAGAGCCTGCATCCATGACCATCCCCAACCCGTACCACTGGAGAGCCTGCATCCATGACCATCCCCACCGCACACCACTGGAGAGCCTGCATCCATGAGGAATCCCCAGAATTTGAGAAGCACCTGTCTCTTCTTCTGTATCAGCTGCACCTTGCCTGTGTGAGCCCTGGAGCAGCTCTGCCCTGCCACAGGACCCACAGACAGACATGAGTGCTCTGTGTCCACCTCAGAGCTTCTAAACCTGCTCTACTGATGTCACTGGTGTGGATCCCAGCTGAAGAGACTACAGCACCATGCCCACCAAACCAAAACCCTAAGATGCTTCTCCAAGGGGCTGTCTCTTGGAACCCACGAGTTTAGACAAGTCTTCTAAAGACTCATGTGGCTTGGCCACCTGCCTGTGTAGACTGAGAAGTGACAGAACTTCTAGGAGGTGGGGCCTGCTGTCACCTTGACACAAGTCAGACTCATTTGAGAAGAGGGAATCTCAATTGTGACTATGCCCTCGCCTCACCAGGTTGGCAAGTGGCAAATCTATGGTGCATTTTCTTGATAGATGTTTGCTATCGGAGGACCCAGCTCACTGTGAGCAGTGCCACCCCTGGGCAGCTGGTCCTGGATGCTCTAAGGAAGCAGGCTGAGCAAACCTTGGAGAACAAGCATCCCTCCATGGCCTCTGTATCAGTTCCTGCCTTGAGTTCCTGCCCTGACTTCCCTCAGTGATGGGCTGTACCTGAAGTGAGATAAACCCTTTCCTCCCTGTGTTGCTTTTGATCATGGAGTTTTATCACAACAACAGAAATCCTTACTAAGACCACTACTGAGAGGGAGTTAGGTTACCTAGTCTCTCTCAATCTCTCTCCCCGTCTATCTGTGTCTCTCTGTGTGTGGTATGTCTGTCTGTCTGTCCATCTTCCATCTTCCATATCTTCTCCTGAACCCCTTCATATTTTTTCTTTTTCCTCATGGTGTCTTGAATCATAGAAAATCTGTTTGCTTTGGATTTTTTAAAGCATGCCTCTCATGCAACCTAAGCTGACCACAAACCCACTGTGTAATTGATCTTGGTAACCTTGGATTATCCATCCTCCTGCCTCTGCTTCCCATGGGCTGGGCATTCCAGGTTTTTGCCATCATGCCTATCTTTGGGGTTTTAATCCCCTCTATGGAGCCTGTCTTCTATTGTTCACATCTCTACCTCAACACACATATATTTGTTTTGCTTTTAAATATCTTCTCACTTAACATTTATAGCTTTAATTCTTCTCATGGTTTTGTTTAGCTTAATTGTGAAAAGGAGATGAAAAAAATTTCCCAATAATTCAAGATATTCTCTTGGCTTTTGCTAGTCTCTAATCTGGGTGATTTTATGACATGCTAAATATGTCTAAGCATTTGGGCTTCTCTGGCAAGATTGTCACCTCTATTTACTCTTAGGCAATCTTAAGCGGTGAGTCCTAAAGAGGAGGAGGAAAAATAAGACGAGAAAGGCTGCCAAATGCTATAAAAAGAATAACTTGAAAAAATAACTTACAGAGAAATAAATAGAACAGTTATTCTATAGGAGATGAGAAGTCATAAAGTCAGAAGTTAAAATGAAGATAGTAAGTTTATCCAGCCAGGCATGATGGTGGATAATTTAATCCCAGCACCAGGAAAAGAGAGATAGGCATAAAGATCTCTGTGAGTTTGAGGTCAGCCTCATCTACATAGACAGTTCCAGGGTAGCCAGGGCTAGATAGAGACCCTGTCTCAAAAACACTAAAAAAAAAAAAAAAAAAAAAAAAAAAAAGTTTATCCTGAGAGACAAGAAACAACAGAGAATGTTTGTCCTTTGTTTCAGGTTCTTTTATTTTATTTTATGTGTGTGGGTGCTTTATCCACATGCATGTCTGTGCACAACATATGTGCACAGTGCCCAAGGAGGCAAACAGGACATTGAGCCTACTAGAACTATTATTGTCCTTTTGTGTGTGTGTGTGTGGGGGTTCTCTCTAATTTTAACATACATGTTTTAATTTAATTTTCATTGTTACTGATTTATATATTTTACTGAAAATAGGTTTTTCTCTCACACAATATACCCTGCCCTCAGTTTCCCCCCCCTCCACTCCTACCGGCCCTCACACACCTCCCCTCCATCTCCCATGAGAAAATAGCAGGCCTCCAAGAGATAACAACCAAACATGGCAGAAGAAGACACAATCGTGTAAGCAAGAGCCCTCGGACCAAAGCCGATGAGGACCGAACAGGAGGAAAATGTGCTGTCTTCATGGCTGCAAGGCTAACACTCAGCTTGCTGTCGATAGTGGATGGTGCTCAGCCTACGCTGGATGTCACCTGCTCCGAACAGCACCCTGGCTTCTTCTTGTTTTATGGATATGACATTGTTTTTGTTCCCTAAAGGACACCCCTGTCCCCCTGCCCCCAGTCAATAATCATGTTTGTATAGCCAGACTTTCTCTGTGAAGATCAAAGGACCTCACTTGATAAACCAACACAACACTGACCCCTGGTGGTCAGCTCCCACGTGTGGCTGGATGAGCGGTCTGTTGAAGTTTTTTGTCTTTTTAAAAGCCAGTTTTATTTTTGTTTGTTTTGTTTTGTTTTTTTCTTTAACTTTTTGGCTTCCTCTGTTTGTAGTCTGCAGATCACAGCCTTTCTTGGTTCCCCATTTTATCACTTAAGTCATTTTTTCTTTCATTTTTAAGGAATCCGGAGCAAAAGGAGAGGAAGCCAGAAGAATGGTGTTACTGTGTCGCATTCTGATGCAGTCCAAGAGGCTGAACTCAAGCACAAGAAAACGCACACAGGGCTTGTGAGGAGCTCACTCCAGTGAGGCATGTGTGCAATGGGGACAGAAGAGAGAACGAGGTAGTCCTGTAAGAGAAGGCACAGGTGTAGGGCTCTGGGAAATATTTGAGCTGGGTATCGGGGTGCTGTGAAATACACATCCCATGGGTGGTCAGCTTGAGGGAGCTCTGGGCTGTGGGGGACGTGGATCTTAGGGTGTTGGGTACCAGAGTGACAGTTGCCACTGATGATTTGGGGCGGGGACCTGTCACTTGTCTCCCATGGGTTTGTCTGACGGTTTCAGTAGGGCTCTAGTATGCATTGATTGGGCAGCTCTGGTCACTGCATAGGGTTGGAAGAATAAGCATTCTTTTCACACAGTGAGAGATGGCCAAATGTGCCCAAGGACTCTGAGATGTCAGGAAGGCTGGCATATTCCGTACCCTCCACCATCACTGTCTCTGCTGTATACTCATGTCTCTGAGGAAGAAAGGTAAAGGGGAAATTTATAAGCACAGCCTTTATTTTGCCTTCTCCTGCCCCAGGACTGCTATCTGGAATCTTCTTCCTTCCTTCTTCCTCCCTAGCCCTTCCTTCAGGCATCTTCTGCTTTTTTCTGATCCAGAAGACAGATTTCCAACAAGGGCCCCAGGGCACTCCCCTCCTGGGAGGACACTTTCTGAGGAATAGTCAGGGAGTCCAAGAAATGACACTTCCATCCATTTCACTCTGAACATACCCTGGGACAGTTGTGACCCCAGCTCTGCTGCCCCATAATGTACATTACACTGGTGTGTGTGTATATGTGTGTGCGTGTGCATGCATGTGTGGTATGTTTGCATGTATGTGCATGTGGTGTGTGTGTGCACATGCTGTGGGTGTGCGTGTGTGTACATGTCTGTGTGTGTACATATGTGCGTGTGTGTGTGTGTGTGTGTGTGTGTGTGTGTGTGGTCACTGATGAGCTGCCTCTGAACATGAGGCTGTGTCATGCCCTGTTCAGAATGAAGCAGTATCGTGCTCCTGGGAACAGCAGAAATGTGACGTCTCTAGAAGTCACTATTGTGATATGAAGTGCAGGGTCAGAGAAGCCATGGGAAATTGGTCAGTGGAGAGGAAGCTCTACCGGGAACCAGCTGGCTGCATCAACTTCCTCCGTTGGTTTTTGTGGGGTGTAGTGAGTTCCACATTTGATGGAATCTGTCTTCGTCTGTTAATTTTCAGAAGTCTCACCTGAGGGTTCAGACACTGATCTGCTTGGAAACTCCAGCTGATGCCTCCAGGGGGCAGCCTTAGTTTTGCTGGGGGTTTTAAGTGCCTGTTTAACGATGGTTTGCTCTCTCTACTATTCATTGGTATTTAAGCTTTTACTTTGGCTTGCTGTGTAATTAGTAAAAACTTTCATTCAAAACTGAAACTATGGCTGTCCTTGATCACTAACTGGATCCTATGAGCACCCTCGCCCGAAGCCACGTCACTCACTTGGCAGCGCCTCCAGCAAAGGACCACACCAACAGCCGACAGCATCAGGCCCTTGAGTAGGAGGAGTCCATACTGCACGAAGACCAGAAGCCTTGAGGAGACCCAGTCAGGAGAGGAAGGGGAACTTTGGTTTCTGGAGGCAGAAAGAGGAGCCTGGGCTGAGGCGTCACCCGCTTCTAAGTGGCCCCCAGCTGGGGTTTGTGTGCATAAGAACCCACCCTGAGCTCTGGAGGGACAATGGACTTGAGTGGGGCGAGAGCCATGGGGGCTCTGAGCCTGAGGAGAAACCCACTTGTAAGAAACCCAGTTGGAAGGGTAAAAACTCTGGCTGTGGATCGAAACAGCTGGCAGCTAGAGAGAGAGACAGGTCCGCTGGGAGGAGCTGTCCAGAGTTCTGCAGGCCAGTGAGGAGGTCACAGAGGGCCACTTATGAAGGGGACCTGAGTTGTCACCTTGTCCACTCCTTAGTGGCTTTGGTACAGTCTCTGGAGCTCATCTTTTGGGTAGTGAAATTTTGGCTAATCATTAAGAGGCTCTGAAACCCGGAGGCTCCGCCCTCTCACAGGTGGGAGGAGTCTGTGCCACCACCAGGGTACTCAGGGTTCAGGAGCCCACAGCAGTCCCCGATGCAAGCACTTCCTAAGCCTGGCCACATTGCTCATTGTCAAGATGTGGGGTGGGGATCCTTAGGAGTGAACATGTATGTTTTCCTTGCAGATTTTCTCTTCCCCTAATTCCCTTTCTTGTCTGACATTTTCCACTGAGATTGCCATCTTTTTCTTTGAGAACCATAAACCTCACCTCTGTGTTTGTCTTCAGCTTTTTAAGATTAATTTTTCTCAGTCTGCTATCTGCTTGTGAACATTTCCCACAATGTTGTTTGTTGAGTACAATTTCCCCTCCTTGAAGCAGTTGAATTCCCAGCCCCGCCCCCCGTGATGTGTGTTTTTAAAGTTTTCTGAAAAAAAAAATCAAAAAATAAAACAAACAAAAAAATCTCCACCCAGATATTCATCTGCTTTTCATATATATATATATATATATATATATATATATATATAGAGAGAGAGAGAGAGAGAGAGAGAGAGAGAGTCAGGGTCAAGTAGACCGTTGGCTTCAAACTCATAGAGATCCACCTGCCTCTGCCTCCTGGGTGCTGGGATTTAAGGTGTGCGCCACCATGCCCAGCTTCATTACTTCTTAAAAAGTTGACACAAGTTTCTTTTTCCTAGTTATACAGTTTGAATCTGTCTGGAAATCAGGTTGTGTATAGTGATGGAAGCTGGAGTTCATTCTTAAATTATGTAGCTAGTCTTCCAAACAGTGGGACCTGCCCCAACTGTCTGAGGGTGTCACTCTGTTTCAGTCTGTCCCTGCATTTACACAGATCTGCTTGTCCCTGTTCCACTCACTAGGGGCCCCCTCCTTTTTTTTTCTTTTTAAGGTAGGGTTTTATGTAGCTCAGGCTGGCTTCAAACTCTCTCTGTAGACCAAGATGACTCCTGACCCCCTGGCCTCCACCTGCCAATATGGGGATTGCAGGTGTGAGTGACCACAGCTGGCTCTTCACACTTCCTGAGTCTGTAATGCGCTATTCTCAGAGTTAATATTTTTAAAATTTATTTTCATTTTACATTTGGTATGGATGCTTTGCCTGCACATATGTATGTATCATGTGCATGGCCGTAGAGGCCAGAAGAGGGTGTCAGATCCCAGGAATCAGAGTTGTAAGCCTGTAAGTTGTGGAGGCTGGGAATTGAATCCAGGTGTGATCTTTGTTGATCTTATATCTGACAACCTTGCCTAGCTTTTGCCTAGCTCAACAGTTGCTTGATTCTTGGGGTTTTCTTGTTTTGAGTTTTGTTGTTGATTGTTGGATTTGGGAAGATAGGTTGGGTTTTTTTTTTTTTTTTCTATTTCTGTTTGTTGCTGTTGTTTTAGATCTAGCTGTTTGTGTATTCTGGCCTTGGAAGGGTCTCTTTCTTAGTCTAGAGCTCACTGGTTAGTGACACTAGCTGGCCATCGAGCCCCTGAGATCTGCCTGTCTCTGCTTCCCAACACTGATTACAGACACTTGCTGCCATACCCAGACTTTATGTAGGTGCCAGGGATCCAAACTCTGGTGTTTATCTTCACAGAGCAGACAATTTCTTTAATCTTTGAGCCATCTCCCTAGCCCTGTATGAGTCTGTGATCTGAGACCTTTCTTTTCCTACAATCCTATGAAATTTATATGTCTATTCTTTCTTCAAACATTTCTTTCCACTCTTCCTCACAGGGTGTCTAGTTTTTTCTGACCCTCCTGTCTCTTTTACAGCTCCTCCAATGCTTGGGACCTTCTGTCTCCACCTCCCTGTCTGGACCAGGGAGATTCTCTGCAGAACTTGGTGTTCAGACATACTAGAATGGTCCTAAAGCTCTCTGGTTCCTTGACTACATGAGCTCTCTGGGCATCCTTTCCCAGGACCCATCCTCTGAAGACACCTGACTCACCTGTGCTCAGAGCCATTGATGAAAGAGCCAGTGAAAGAGCCAGTGGTTTCCTCTGGAGAAGTGGTCAGATCTAAGAAGGACACAACGATGATGGTTTCTCAGATGACCAGGACAGAGACCAAGACTGGGTCCCAAGAACCATGAGAGGAAGTAGAGAAGGGTTTTAGATGGAACCCCAACCTCACAGCCCCTGAGGTCAGGAGTACCTAGACCTCAAATCTTTAGCTTATAATTTTTTTACACATAGAAGGGCATCATCCCTAGAGGCTGGTCTCCCCTAACCTTACCCCCCCCCCACCAGTTGCCTGGCTAACACTCTTTCCTCCTGGAAAGCTGACCTGTGTTTGTCACGGGGAGCCCGGTGGCCATCTGTGGAGGAAGGCTTGATGAGGCTAGAGGCAAAATGAGAAGACAGCATGAAAGGGAGGATGGGGTCTAGGCCCTAAAATGGGAAAGATGTGGGAGGTTCAGAGGTAACTGCGCCTAAAATCCTTAACTGAAAACATGTACATATTTATGGGCTGTTGAGATAGCCTGAAGATGTGAGTTTGAATCTTAGGACCCACAATAGAAGGAGGAAGCCACCCCAAACGTTGTCCCCTGACCTCTACATGTGCACCATGGCCCATGCATATGACAACAACAACAATAATAACTTTAAAGGGGGCTTTTACACATTATTCTATGGCATTTGCTGTTTCAATACTTGCATATATTGTGTGACACTCAAACCAAAGTCAACCTGTGTGCTCAATGTTTACGAGTTATTCACGGTAAAGGCATTAACATCCTTTTCATAAACTTTCAAGGATGAGTAGGGGCTGGAGAGATGGCTCATCGATTAAGAGTACTGGCTGCTCTTGCAGAGGACTGGGGTTTGATCCCTAGCATCTACATGGTGACTCTCAACTGTCTGTGACTCCAGTTCTAGGAGACACAACACCTTCTTGTGACTCCACAGGCACCAGGCATGTACATGTTGCACAGATGTACATGCAGGCAAAATATGCATACACATAAAATAAAATAAGTAAATATTCTAAAGTTTTGATAATAAGAAATAAATGGTATGTTACTGTTGTCTAAGGTCTCTCTACCCTGCAACACAACATTGGACTTTCTCCCCTTCGTTATTACTTAGTACTCTTTTGGCCAGGACCTACCTCTCCTTCCTCACCTCTCTCTCAGCCTCTGGTACCCACTCATCAATTTCCAATGTCTAGTAAATCAGCATTTTGTTGTTGTTGTTGTTTGGTAGTTTTTGGGACAGGTTTTCACAAAGTAGCTCTGACTTGCCTAGAACTCCCTGTGTAGACCAGGCTGGCCTTGAACTCGCAGAGATCCACCTGCCCCTGCTTCCCGAGTGTGCCACCATGCCCAGCTAGGGTTTTGTTTTTGTTTTTAAATCAGGGTTCCATGTAGCCCAGGCTGACCTGAGCTTATTGCATAGCTCAAGATGGTGACCATGTGGTCCCCCTGCCTCGACCTCCCCGGATCTGGGATCATAGGCTGGTAGGACACAGTACTTCCAGCTGTTTACAACCACTGTACTAATTTACACTCCCACCGGCCACAGGTTCCCTTTCTCCACTTCTCCCCTGAGCCTGGTACCTTTTGCCTTTCCAGGAAGAGTGGTTCTTACTAGAGTGAGATGATCTCGCTGTGGTTTTCATTGACATATCCCTAGTAGTTAGTGATGCTGAGAATTTCCCTGGCCATTTGTATACTGTGGTTTGGTTTGGTTTGATGTTTAAACCTGCTCAGATTGGACCATGGATCATTATGCATAAATGAAACGTGGCTTGGGTGGCACATCTCTCTATCTCCGAAGCCCGGAGTACAGCTTCCTCATTGCCGAGTCCCCAGGGGATCCACCCGAGGGGAAGGCCCTAGTGAATCTCAGGCTCCCGCGTTCCCTGGCTACCCGTCTTTCCGCCTCGAAACCCTTCCCATCTTTGTCTGGAGCCAGATGCTGGTGTGTGGAGGAAGAGTGGACAAGGCTGTAAGAGAAAAAGAGAGGACTTTGCGGGGTCCTGAAGGTGGAATCCAGTCTGACCGCCAAACAGTGATGGGAAAAAGGGGAGCCGTGGGTTCCTCAGGCCAGCAGTGATCTGCACCTTCCGTCTACACTGGTGCCTGTGTGAGACAGCTCAGCCATGGAGAACACAACTACTGCAGAGGAACTGAGTTTGAGTTCCAGCACCCACACTGGGTGGTTCACATCCTCGTGTGATTCTGGCCATCGTGGCCACACGTGTGGCGTGTGCCCATAAGTGCGCATAATTTCAAGTAAAGACATTCCAACTTTTTTTTTTTTTTTTTTTTTTTTTTTGAAACAGGGTCTCACTATGTAGCTATGGCTGGCCAGGAACTTGCACTGGAGACCAGACTGGCCTGTACCTCACAAAGATCTACTTTCCTCTGCCTCTCAAAAGTTGGGGTTAACATTGTACTATGCCAGGCTAAAATAAACAAGGGTCGGGAGAGACTCCAGGTCCCTACTCCACGAGACTTAGACATTCTTTTTCAGTGCCCAAGTCAGGAGTGACAGAGATAGGAAGCTGTCTGAGGGGACAAGGAACCACACTCTCCTCGGCCAGAGCAGGTATCAGGATGGGGTGTGACAGAGACAAGGGATAAGCCATGGGTATTCTCACCTGGTTCCTAGGAAAGGGTTATATAAAGGCCTCACCTGGGGACAGCAGCAGGCTGATGTTTCTGAGAATGTTGATTACATTGTGGGAATCATTAAATAACCCGCACCAGTAGACGGCTGAATCCTTCTCTGTGAGCTGAGTGATGGTGACATTGAAGAAGCCAGCTTTAGGATCATCCCAGATGGTATGCCGTGATTCCTTGACGGCTCTCCGAGGCTCGGAGGTTGTGACCACTCGGTTACACCTATTTGGAGACGTCTGCCGACACCAAGATTTCGGCACATAAGGCCCCTCCTTAGGCTTGTACTGGCACCTCACGGAGAGGTTCTGTCCCAAAACTCTGTGAAGTTCTTCAGGCACAACTGTCCAGACACCTGGACAACAAACCCTCCTGTCAGAGCCCCGGCTGTGTACATTTGTTGCCAGCGTTGGGAAGCGGGAGGCAATGACTTCTAGCACCCAGACTCGGGAGCATGGCCCTGGAGCCACCCCTGGTCACAGGGTCAGCCTGATTCCTGCCTGACCCTTGTCTGTCGTCCCATTCTCCACCCCTTGTGTCTGGAACCATCTCACCTGAGGCCAGGAAGAGCAGCAGCAGAGGGACCAGCAGCAGTTGTGAGCATCTCCAGGCCATAGCCCCCTAATCCTGTCAGTGGAGGAGAGGAGGAGAAGGGAGGATTTGGACGGGGCAGACGTCTCCCTATCTCAGCATCTATGAGCTGCAAGAGAAGGACCTGGGCTTTGATTGGGGAAGTGGTTGGCCTGGGTAGGCGGGCCCTGGAGACTGAGGAGAGGAACAGTAGCCAGGCCTGCAGGGATCCCCAGCTGTAGGGTCCATGTCTAGCCCTCACACCTCAGCTCTGCCTCTGCTCCTCGCCTTCCTTTTGCTCATCCTCTCTCCATCTCAGATGCTCCACACCATCTGCCATTCACACTCCTTCGTTATGGCTGTTAAAAAATTAAAGACAAAACGATATGAAGTAAGAGGCCTGTTCCTCTTTTCTTTTTCCCTGAGAAAGGTCAAAGGCCCCCAGAGGCGTGTCAGGAGTCTTGGTATTCTCACCCCCAAAGTAAGTCAGGGGCCTCACTCCCAGGCGACAACGTGTTTTTATCCCGGAAGGTCTGTGGGCCACCAGAGTCCAACGCCAAGCTGTTAGGATGGTCCCTGGAAAAGGTGTGAGGGGGCTACTAGGTGGTAAAAGAGTGTGCTGAGGAAGGGTCGTCAGATGGATCGAATACTTAGGGGTGAGAAAGGAAGTGTGGGAACTCATGACCATGTCAACTGGTGTTTGTTGGAGGGATTGGGTGAGAAAAATACGGAAAATCATCACGTGCAAAAATCTCACATACAAAAATCTCACATGTAAAAACGTGTAGAAGAAATGGTGACCCACTCAGGAACAATTAGGAATAAAATAAACTGATGTTAGACTTTATATTCAAAACATAAAACAGCCGCAAGTCCAGGCTAGTGCAGGAAGACGGCGGAGTACATGAACACGTGAGGGAGAGCCGTACCTCCCGTGTGCAAGGGTTCCACGATGGGGGACTGCGGGCCGGTGTCCCCATAGTCATGTGATGAAACTTAACTCCAAAAGAGGTAGGGCCTTTGAGGAGCTGGCAGGGTCACACTGGTTCTATGCTCATGAATGAGGTTGATGTCCTTGTAAAATAGAGCAAGGGAGAGTCTGCCCCTCAGCCCTGCTACGGTTTGCGCATGACTTACACTCTCTCCTAAGGTGGGAGGGTCAGAAGCTCAGTCCCCAGGTAGTGTGGAGCCTTTCAGGGACTGCATGGGAGTCCCTAGGCCAAGCGAAGCATGACCTGGGCGGTAATTGTGGGGTCCCAGTGGCCCCCTCTCCCTCCCTCCCTCCCTCCCTGCCCACTCTCTGGCTCTTGGGTGACATGATTATAATAGACTCCTAAATTTGATGCCATCTAATCTGAGGCCTTTACAAGAGCTCATGCCATTGAGTCTTCAGGTGTGTTTTCTTTATAAAGTAACCACCTGAGGTATTTTATTATAGTCACAGAAAATCAACACAGGTGCCATCTTCTAAGCCTCAATACATTTATTATAAAATAGCCAGTCTATGTACTTTGTTACAGTAGTTTCAAAGTCCTGGGTTGTGCCTGAAATATTTACATGCATACTCTTCCCTAAAGGAGAAGGGACATCATACCTGCTGCCTATGTGTGTGTTGCCCGCCAATGTGTTAAACCACTCCTTAAGCCACAGCCCTTGTGATCTAGCAGTCTCGAGCATTTTCCTCACACACACATGGGTGCCAGTATTCCTAATCCCCTGCATGTCTCCCAGGCTCATTTGACCATGGCAGGCAGAGGCGGGAGCATCAGTGTGAGTTCCAGAACATTCTGGTACTTAGAGCTCCAACCATCAAACACGTGTGAAACCCGGACCTGGAGTAGGATGAGTGGGGAGTTTGGAACCAGAGCTGCGATGACAGTCTGCTGATAGAGAAATGCTCTGGTTTCATTTCTGTTTCTGCACTAGAATACCCTGACCAAAAGCAAATTAGGGGAGAAAGGGTTTAATTCCACTGACATTCCAAAGGTACAGTCTATCACTGGGGAAGTCAAGGCAGGCCCTCAAGTCTAAGTCACATCCCACCCACAGTCATGAGCATCATCACTCGCCTGTGTTCCTACTCTTTCTGTGTTTGTCCCAAGGGAAGTGACACCCACAATGGACTAGGTTGCTAAGGCAACCCTCACAGGCCAACTTGATCCAGGCACTTCCCCAAATGAGACTGTCCTCTCTCAGGCCAGGCCATTTTGAGTGGATAGTTAAGGACAACCAGGACAGCTGTCAAGATTGAGAGCCGAATGGAAGAGTTGGGAGTCAGCAGTAACCGTTTGGGAAAGGAATATACACACCCATCTAGGAAAGCTCAGCTCTGGTGGGCAAGCCCGCAGTACCAGCTGGGACCCAGGGGCCATCAGAACACCCAACTTCATGCTTATCTTTCTGGCTCTGCTCCACTCCCTAGGAATCCCTGTGCAGCAGCTGAGGGGTGGGGATGGCAAACAAAGAATGGGGAAAGGCAACTGGCCTCCTCCTCCAGAGGGACTAAGATTGAGAAGTTGGAGCGCTTTAGTTATAAATTCAATCTTCCTTCCCTATCCTAATTACTTAACTGAAGTCAGTATTGGAGTCATGTTTTCTTTCTTTTACAAGTTGCCACTCATGAGACTGAAACAGTTAAGAAAGAGTACTTGGTGCTCTCACAGAAGACTGGAGTTTGTTTTCCAACACCTGTAACTCCAGGTGCAGGGGGATCTGACACCCTCTTCTGGCCTCCTCAGACATCAACATGTACACACACACACACACACACACACTCATACACACACACACACAGACACACACACACTCACACACCACATACACACACATACACACACATACATACACACACAGACAGACACACACACATACACACACACCAACACATACACACAGACACACACACAGACACATACACACACACACACACACATACGTATATACACACAGACACACACACACAAATAGAAACAAGTCTTTTTTTTTTCTAGTCACCACACAAAATATTTAGGAAAATGATATAACATTGAAAAGCATCACTACACATTTGTCAGTATCCATAGAGTGTGTGACACCAAAAGTAGACCCTAGAGAAGTCACCCTCAGCTGACAGTGGTGTCTGTATGAGCTCCTCCAGTGTAGCAAATGCACGGTTTTGAGGGACAGGGCGCTGTGATGGGAAGAACTTGGGGAGAGGCTGCTAGGGAAGTTCATTAGCTTCTTTTCATTTCTGTGATAAAATGTGCAGACGATAGCAATGTAAGGAGAAAGCATTGACTCGGGTTCAGAGATTGAGAATACAGCCCATGGAAGTGGAGGGTGGGGGTCAAGGCAGGGGCAGCTTGAAGCAGCTGTCACATGACAGCCACAGTCAGGAAGCAGAGAGAAACTAGAGTTCAGTTCACTTCCTCCCTTGTCCACAGTCCAGAGTTCCTGCCCAGGGTGTCACCCTGCCACAGGGAAGATGGGCATTCTGGAGCTAGAAAGAGGCTCAGTAGTTAGGGCACTCACTGGCTTCTCTTCCAGAGGACCTGAGTTAGGTTCCTGGCACCCATGTGGATGCTCAGGATGATCTGTAACTCCAGTCCCAGAGAATCTGAGGCCCTCTTCTGGCCTCAATGGGTACTGCATTCCCATGGGACATAGACATGCATATAAGCAAAATACCCAATACTCTATAAAATTTTTTAATCTAATTTTTAAATGTGTATTCCTACATGTATTAGTCACTGTTCTATTGCTATGAAAAGGCACCATGATTGAGGCAACTTTTATAAAGGAAAACATTTAACTGGGGGTGTTGAGATTTTCTCCATGTAGTCTCTGTCCGCTGGACCAGTTTCTCTCCACCCAACTGGGTCCCCGAAGCCATTATGAAATAACCACTCTGAGACTTAAAATCTGTTTACAATTGTTTGGCCATTGACTTAAGCTTCTTACTGGACAGTCCTCTCTGAATTATTAACCCATAACTATTAAACTGTGTATCTTCACGTGGCCTTATCTTACTGGAGAATGCCTGGGTGTCCTACTTTCCGGGTAGCTACATGGCATCTGTCCTTTGTCTCTCTTTTCCCCATCTCTTTGATTGGAATTTCCCCCTAGCTAACTTCTGCCTGTTCGTTGGCTGAAACAGCTTTATTCTTCAACCAATAAAAGCAACACATATTTGCAGCACACAGAAGGATGGGAGCTTGCTGATAGCTTCAGAGGCTTAGTCTATTATCGTTGAGGTGGGGGACATGGCAGCAGCGATCATGGAGGCAGGCGGTGTTATGAATACGGTACACCACTGGCAGATCCCATGGTGGGTAATGGATAAAGTGTGGGTGACATAAAGACAGAGACCTACAGACGAAACTTATGTGGAAAGTTATTGGGGGAAGGGAAGGGAGAGCAGAAGTGGGCAGAGCCTGCCTTTTAAAGGGACTTTACATCTGTTTACAGAGCGGGAGGGGAGGAGGGAGCGGGGGGGGGGTAACTCTGCCATGCACAGAGGTGGCACACTCTGCCAGGTCCCAAAGGGTTGGCGTCGCCAGGTTTGCCTTGATTAAATAGGCAGGCATGGTGCTGGAGAAGTAGTTAATTCTGATGGAGAGAGAGAGAGAGAGAGAGAGAGAGAGAGAGAGAGAGAGAGAGAGAGAGAGAGAGAGAGATTCTGGGCCAGATGTGGGCTTTTGGAACCTCACAGCCCACTCCCAGTGACATATGTCCTCCAACAAGGCCACTCCTTCTAATCCTCCTCAAATGGTGTCATTTCCTGATGACCGAGCATTCACATACATGAGCCAATGGGGATTGTTCTTATTCAAACACCATATTCCACTCTAGGTTTGTAGCCATAGTATCAGAGTGTGAAAATGCTTCCAGTCCAACTTCAGGAGCCCCATAATCTATCACAGTCTCAACACTGCTTCAAAGTCCAAAGTTCAATGTCTTTCCCGAGACTCACGGCAACCTCTTAACTGTAAAAAAATAAAATAAAAAAGCAGATCACATAGTTCTGACATACAACAGCACAGGACATATATCACCACTCTAAAAGGGAGGAAAGGGAGTGTAGTAAGGAAACACTGAACCAAATTACTGACTAGGCAAACTCCAAACTCTGCATCTCCATGTCTGATGTCTAAATGCTCTTTACATCTCCAACTCTTCCCAGCTCTGTTGACTGTAGCACACTTCTCTCTTGGTCTGGTTCTACTTCC